TAATATAATTTGTCGCCTCTATATCATATTGCCTCTGTATAATTTCAGTTTCCATCAAGCTAAATAATTATAATCCATAGCAGAAATTTGGTGCTTTCACAGCTGTATCTTTCAATTAATATTTTTTTATTCTGCTATTCATTTATTTTCGAATTTCTCCAAGGAAATAAAAAATTTGATGTAACTTTTTTTGTATATATAAGGCATCACTTTTAAAGCAGTGCAAAAAACAGATAGACAAGGTGGTTTTAGTATTCATCTAGTATTTCTAACTCATTTTGCTGCTACTAAGTTCATTTGTGAATTGAATTTCATTGAAATTTGAAGGTGATAGTTCAAATTGGATATAGCTATATACATTTCAACTTTTAATCCTTCGTTATTTTCCTGCTCTCCTTCTAAATTTTCTGCCAATGTTAGGATTTTTTGTTACAATTAGCAATAAAAATTGATGTTAAAGGAATTCATGCTGAAATGAAACTGATTCAGGAAAAGGAAAAAAGTAAGAAAAGGAACTGTACGAAAAATTAGTATGAATTAAATGAAGAAAATAAACAAAATAGGTTTGTAAACATTTGACTTTTTTAACTTTGTTGTCCACTTATTACACATTGCAAAGGAACTTCAAAGGTGGATTCAAGTGCTTTTCAGAATAATAAATATGAAAGAAGTAATTATAAATTTCAGTTCTGTTACTTCATAACTGCCTGATGTTCGTAATTCACCTCTGTTTAAAATTTCTAATGAAAAGAACAAAAAAAATCAAACTAATAAGTTTATAAGCAGACTGCATGAGCTTACCGTTTTCAGTGTAAATTTTCAAAGTAACTGGCGTTTCAGAATAGCTGAAGTATGCCCTAAATATCTTTTTTCTTTATGAAGCTTTCATCAACTTTTTTAAAAGATTTTCAAGGAATTTTCTTTTTTTTAAAGTTTAAATCCAAACTAAAGGATTGCGAATGAGTGGTAAGAGTTCACAATTTTAATAACTAGGTTTGCATTTCTTCAAATTTCTTAGGTATGAACACCTGAAGCAGTATTATCCTGATTTCCTATCCGTTATTTTATCATGCAAATTTTGGATATAACTAAGCGCCTACTTTTTGAAAGTATTCAAGATAGTAGTTTTAGAAGTTTTCTGTTTTCAGTTTTCTGTGTCGCTTTCAGCTGCTAAACATTTATTAGTGCCTCCCGAAAAATTTATGATTGCCGTGCTTTAACAGTTTTATCGCTGGCATTTATTTCTTCAGTGCTCTGTTTAAATTGATTGTTGTTGGAGTGTTCGATGAGCATATTAGTATTTGAAAGTAAGATTTAACTCAGTAAATTATGAATTTTCATGAATTCCAATAAACAGTGGATTTGCAGTATTGTTAACTTGATAAATGTCAAAAAATTAAAAAAAAAGTGACTTTTTTATTTTCATTTAAGCATTAAGCGTTTGAATGAACTATCTACAATTGTTAATATGATAAATTTCATGATTCAAGCATTTCATGAATATTAATTACTTGAATAACGATAAAAAAGATTTTGATTGAAAGAGAGGTAAATAAATATTCGTTACAACATCTACTCTTTTCAAATGTATTATCTTATTTGGCTGCTGTTGTCAATTAAATTATTGATTTTCCAAATCCTATCTTTGCATCTAATTTTTACAATTAGAACTCATCATGATAAATATTCCAGTAAAGTATACTTGTGATTAGTCATTACAGTGAGATATTTTTATAGTAATTTCATAAAATTTGGACTAATTTTATCACTATTTTAATGTAATGACCATTGCGAAGTACTAAAACACTGCAGGAAATAAATTTGGAACTTGAAAAAAGAGTGAAAGTAATAATTTTATTTTTGCATTTAATTTTATTTTTTGCATTATGTGAAACTTTTCCAGCATAAGAGAAATTAGGAATCTTTTTTAAGAGCAATTTTTATATATCATTCATTAGAAAATTCAATTATGCCCATCAGTAATTTATTAACTAATAGATGCAATGCATTTTTTCTGCCATTCTCCCACCTTTCTCTTTTGGGCTATTTTCCTAAACATTCTATTATCGCACTAATTCTCAGGGCAATCAATGAATTATTATAGTAATTGTGTTTTTATCTTGCTTTTTTTCCTTCTTTTTTTTTTTTTTTTTTTTAATTTAGAAAATCAAAGATAGCAATTCACCATTTGCTCAAATAGATTTCTGTCAAAATTTCGACATTAGTCACAACTTAGTTTTTTTTTTTTCCTTTGCTTGTATTCTCATAAAGTATTTGAATAATTTTAATATTTTCTGCTGAGATTACTGAAAACTATCAGTGTTAGAAAAATAGTTGGAGTAATTGGAATAATGAATAATAATTCATAAATATTAGCTTTCTATTTTGGTTTCATAGAAATAATATTAATAACTGTTGGTTTTCTTCAATGGTATAGTAACGATATATGTATATTTGGATGAAAATATTACTGAAATGATAAGTATCTGACTGAATTTTTGCATCTGTAAAAACGATATTTTTTTTTTTGGAAGAATGAAAAATAGCGAAGTAATAATTAATTTAGCTTTTAAGGATGTTTTTTTTTGCTCAGTTACGTAGAATAATTTAACGGGAATTCCAGTAATTACAGTATCTTTCTCGCTAGTACAAAATTATATTTTATTGATACCTTTCGGAAGAAGTGTTATTTAATCCTAAATCAAGTTTTTTTTTTGCAAAAAAAGGTATATTAAGAACGAATTGCTCTAATAATGGAACTTTCAGCATGAATTTTTGTTTTATATCAAATAATTATGCGCTAAAATTTCCAAATATTTGAATTATTTATTTCATTAATTTTAGAGAGAAATGATGAAAGTTGGAATTTTTAATAATTGAAAACTTATCACCCCGTTAGTGAAAGAGGTAAAAAGCGAAAACAGGACTTTATGCTATATAACAATTATGCTTTTTCATTCACCATTTTTTTTTAGAATTTCGAAACTGTCACATAAATCTTGAAATTCGTAAAATTACATAAACAAAATGAAGTCGACTACCTCTTTCGGCATGTTTCTCTTACTGAGCGACGCTTGATTTATACTTTCTGCATTCTTTTATGAAAATTTATTGAATTTCATCATTTTTGCATTAAATTTTCAATATCCATAATATTAAATCATATCTGCTGCACTGTTTCATTCCTCCCACATTTTCATTTTCTATTTTTAATTATTATTAACAGAATAATGTCTGTTTAATTCTTCACAAACCTCGGTTTCTCGCTAAGCTCAGTGCCTGTCGAGGAATAACTTATTTGAGGCACCTGAAATGCAATCGATGAGATGTAAAATATTGATACCAAAAAATTAATTTTGTTCTTCAGATGCCTTCAACAAAAATGAGCATACTAATTAGCTAATTAGAATGCCATTTTAAGTAGGTCATCCCATTAAAAAAAGAAAAACTGAAGCTAGTTGGACAGATAGAGAAAAGGAATTAGAAATTTGATATTACTAAAGGAGGTACATATAAGGGGATAATTCTTAAATCCAATTCAATTTTTCAATATTTTTCATTAAACTTTTTCCATGAAATGAAATATTACTTTACATAATTTATGCATCATGAATTTTACAAATAGAAATTCTTCGATGTGTGTGTGTTGCTTCTTTTTTTTTCCAATCACGATAAATTTTAAAAAGAAAATTTTTTTTTTCACTTCTCCATTAAGCTTAAAAATTTTTTGAAATGTTTGCTTAGCATCACCTCTCAAAGGAATAATTGGAATGCACATCGATGGAAAATATGGACCGATCTAGAAATTGTTCATTTCTTGTCTAAAAAACTTACTAGAAAAAGTAAGTTTATGACATTTGCACATATATCTTTCTAACTTCGTTTTTCCTTCCCATCATCTCACTGAATTATTAATTTTTTTTTTTTTCAAAAGGTAATTCTGAAAGAAGAAGAGTTCAAATATTCATGCTAACATGAGAAAAGTAGTATTATAGGCAGGAACTCGTGTTAGTTATTTTTCAAACTTTGTCATACAATCACATTTTGATAACTCTTTTTTAATATTTCATTATTCCCACTTTGCTTTCAAACAATCATCCACTGCCATTTTTCATACTCATTTAAGGAAATAAACTGTATTTTCTTTCAAATTTCCTAAAATTGGTTGGAGAAAAGTTGGATATTTGTGAAAGAAATAGGAATGACATTTGGTAATGATTTGTTAGGTTCGAATTCACTTGCTGACTAACTTTAAAACTTAAAAAGTTTCTCTTTCACTTTATTGTTGGAATTAAAGAATCTTATAAGTGAAGGCATGACAAAGTGGAGAAGATTAGTTAGGAGTAAGATGCATCTAATTTTTCCTTATGCTTCCCTTATATTTTAATGAAATTTTAGACAAAGCCAGGATTGTTAAAAAAACTAATGCTGTACAGAGTGATGCAAAAGTGTCACCAATTATTAATAAAGGACAATTGAAGAGACAAGTGGAAGATAACAAGAATGAGAAAATAAAACAAATTGTGCAACTTGGGAATTTGATTATTTCATCTTTTTTAATAATGTATTTCTTGAGATTAATTTTACGCAGATTTCGTTTAGCTTAATTCATTACACCTTTTTATCATTGTCTTTTCCGCTATTCCTTGCTGTCATTATTATTTCCGCCATTTGCAAACTAGTTATTTTGTGTGATAAAATTGGTCGCCTTTCATATAATTTTATTCATTCATTGAAAACATCACGAAATTCAAATTGCTCATTTTTTGAATTCTGAATAATTAGAATAATTTTCAGAGAAGATTCTAAATGTAGGGAAAGAAGGTATCAAATTGTCTGCATCGATGATTTTGTATCCAAAAAAATGCTGACTCTACGAGACATTTTTTGCTCTTCTTGCGACAATATCTTCTTGGGAGTCTTTGCATGCAGTAATTAATATAACAACGGTACGTGTAGCAGGAAAGAACGACGACAATACAGTAACAGACGAAATTCATATGTTAATTCATTCATTCGCTTATTTACGTCTCATTCTCGTCATTTTACTAACTGAAAATTCATCGATCATCTTTGGTCGTCAAGTATTTCTGAAAGGTGATATAATACTGGGAGGTCTCTTCCCTGTACATGAAGCGGGTTTCAATGGTTCTGAGTGTGGTGTTCTGAAAGCAGCGCAAGGTGTACAACGACTTCAAGCAATGCTCTATGCATTAGATTTGGTTAATAATGATGAGACAATTTTACCGGGCATTTTGCTTGGTGCTCAGATTCTTGATACATGGTGAATTTTAGTTTTTACAAAGTAAATCCTTGTTCATTCAATTACTCACTTTCTTCGGAATGATTATTTAAAAGTTTCGAGATCAAAAATTTTAAGCTTTCCTGTAGCAAAAAAGAATGATAAATCAGATTAAAGTAATTTTAAAATTGAAAAGGGAAAGCGGCAATAATATAACACATCAAATTTCTTAACCATTCTTTTTTCAAAATTTAAATTTTGAATTTTTTATATTGCTTTTCTCATGTTGTTAGCACAGCCGAATCAGTCTAGAATTTGCTTTAAAAAGTGCTTGACAGAAGCAATATTTTCTGACTAGCATTACCCATTATTAGCACTTATAATAATGATTGCAAATGTTAATGGAAAAGTGCTTAGAAGCTTATTTGCTTAAGCTCAGTTGATTCGTATGCATTGGAACAAACTTTGGTATTCATCAAAACGATAATGTCGCAAGCGGAAGAGATTTATTGCTCCGATGGTTCTAAACCCATCTACCAGCATCATCCAGTTGCAGCTGTTATTGGTGCTGCTAGCAGTCAAGTTTCTGTTATGGTGGCATCTATGCTACAGCTATTCAAAGTAAATATTTCATTTCATGGAAAAAACTTTAATGAAAAATTGAATTGGATTTAAGGACTTTCCTTTTGTATGTGCCTCTTTTAGTAATATCAAATTTCAAATTCCTTGTTTGTTATCTGTCCAATTAGCTTTAGCTTTTTTTTTTTTTTTTTTTTTTTTTTTTGAAAAGGGATAGCCTAAACTAATTAGTATGCTCATTTTTGTTGAAGGCATCTGAAGAACAAAATTAATTTTTTGGTATCAATATTTTACATCTCATCGATTGCATTTCAGGTGCCTCAAATAAGTTATTCCTCGACAGGCACTGAGCTTAGCGAGAAACCGAGGTTTGTGAAGAATTAAACAGACATTATTCTGTTAATAATAATTAAAAATAGAAACTGAAAATTGTGCAGCAAAATACTTCAACGTTTGGAGTATTCTTATTTCAGATTTGCTTATTTCTCACGTGTGGTACCACCAGACAATTTTCAAGCCACTGCTATGGCACACGTAGTAAGTTGTAAAACCCCTTTCAATCTAAAACATTACAACAACATTGAGAAGAGATTCTAAATTTTTTCTCTTCTTTTTATTATAAGGTCGTTTGCTGTTAAAATGATTCTCTTAGCTAAGAAAAGCAGATAGAAAAGGATAGTCACGTGACAGTTGAGCAATCTACGTGTTCAACGAGTTATTACTTGATATGTTCAACGGAGAACATAACTTGATGACTCATGTCAGGTCTCGGCACTAGGCTGGACTTACGTGCATGCGATTGCTATAACTGGGGCTTACGGAGAACGAGGGATCGATTCTTTTCGTGCTGCAGCTGCAGAACTTGGGATATGCATTGATGGTGACGTTCATAAGATTAATCGACGGTGGACAGATAGTCAATTCAAGTTAGTTAACCTTTTCTGATCGTTGTAAAAGTGAGCGATCGGTTCTTTTTGATGAAATTAATTGACAGATATTCAATTAAAGTCAATTAATTACTTCCTGTTAAATCTTTATCAGTTCATACCTTTTCCCCTATCCTTTAACCTTATGAGTAATTTCTCTTTTTCACTTGAAAAATTTTTCGTTAAGAATTTTTTTTTCACTTAACTTTTAATATTTTTTTGTTTCTCTTCAAAAACTTCTTATTACTCTTTTGCAGAGAGCTTTTCTTCAAAATGAAGTACACAAAGAAAGCACGTGGTGTTGTAATATTCGTTGATGAGGACCAATTAAGGCGAATGCTTTCAAGTTTAGATGATATCAGACATGAGGATTCAACTTTTGATAATTACTTCTGGTAGCTCATAATCTTTCTCTTTAAAAACACAAATCAGCAAACACAATACATGACTCATAAGCGTAACACTACACGTGGACTTTTTTATACGCTTAGTAAAGCAGTGCTGATTAGCGCATTAGAATATTGATGTATTCATTTGCTATAAAGTTGTCTTGGAACTACGTTAAGTTTCGCATGACGAAGTTAAAAGTCACCGGGAGTTGACAAATAGCCGTAACTCAAAACTGATTAAAATTCTAAGAAAATCAAGCGGATAATGAAAACTGACTGGAAAGATTCCTAAAAAATTATTACCTATAAGCTGAAAAAATAAAATGATATAGTTGAGATGATTTATACTGACGATATATTGGTAAATCTTATAAAAAAAGAAAAGAATAAAGTTATGGCATTAAAAAAAGCAAATGAAATTTTGCGAATCGAAGTAATAATATTTATAAATTAATTTCCTTCCATTTCCATTTAAAAAGCTTTGAAGAAACTATTTCATTACGAGCAGTAGCTCAAATTATCGACTTTTAAATTAGCCATAAATTACAAAATGAAGAAATAGTTGAAATCTTACACATTTCTTTTTGAACCAAAAAAATATAATTTGTCGCATAAAAATAATTTAAAAAGAAATGGAACTCAGGTGGATTGCTAGTGATTCTTGGGGGATCAAACAGTCTGTTATAACTGGTTATGAAGCAATGACCAGTGGAGCGGTAACAATCTCACCTGATCTTAAAGTTGTGCCAGGTTTGAAACTATGTGATTGTGAAGAGGATGTTGTATCATTTAAATGTGAAATCTTTCTTACACTCATAGCTTTTTAGAAAATTTATTAATTGAACTGAAAGTCGCGGTAGCTGATACCTGAGGAAGTTTTAAAATACAACAATGAAATTAGACATAGATGATAAATAGCCCAAACAAAATACATTTCTCATCTATAATTTATGTAATTTAAGAAAGAATTAATCTATCGTTTTTGTATTTTTTAAAGTTTCTTTTTTAGTTCTACTTTCAGCACTCACAATTTATTTGCTTCTAGAACAAAATTAAATCTTGAAATTTAGATTTTGACAGATATTTCAAGAATTTATGGCCATCAAATACATTTCTTCGTGAGTACTGGGAATTGATTAACTGTACGGACGAACACAATAATTTCGGAGAGTGTTTTGACAAACATGGCATTACCTTTAAGCAAGAAGCTTACGTACCATTTGTTATCGATGCAGTAAACGTTGTCGCTAGAGCACTTCATCAATACATACAGGTGCTAAATCATTTGCTACAAGGAGAAAGTAATTTAACTTGAAATTTTTAAATTTACTGAATTCTTTAACTACGACTGATAAGATAAGCTATTAATAAAATGCTTGGCTAATCGCTTTCCGAGTATTTGAAAGCAATTCCAATTCCAGAATTAGATTCGAAATTTTGATAAGATAAAAATTAAATAATTGATTTGTATTTTGCATAAATTTACAGACGACCTGTTCATCACTGAACTTCCACAACTGCAATATTTCTAAAACCGATTTCGATGGAGCACGATTGCAAAGTTATTATAGGAACGTTTCAATTGAACGTAAGATTTCAAAATCACAGAAGAGAGAGAAAAAAAAAAATCAAATATTAGAAATGATTTCCTATGGTAGTAAATTTTGGAAAATCTTTAGTTCTTCAGGAAACTAACTGAAATTTCAATTCACACCTTGTTTTAAAGCTTTTTAAGGCTTTTAATTATAATTCTTACAGCTGGCGTTCCACCGCATATTGACGCAAATGGTGATGGGATTGGCAATTATAATATTTATCAATTAAATGATATGGGCTACTATCAAAATGTTGGCAAATGGACTGCAGGAAAGAAGCTTAATCTAAATGTTCGCCGTATCAGGTTGCCATATTTAGAAGTGCTTTGATTAAAATTAAATTTCCGGTCAAAAAGATAAAGCATTTTAAATGCTGAAATTTTATACAATTTGAGTTTTTTTGAAAAAAAAAAAAAAGAAAAGCTTTATTAGTTTGAAAAATATTTTGAATTTTTAGGAAAGGATTGAAAAGATGGGATGGTTCATTACCGTTATCAGTATGCAGCACAGATTGTCCACGAGGACACTACCGTGCTTATCAGGATCAGAATTGTTGTTGGACTTGCATACCATGCGATGTGTCAACATCAATTATCATCAATGAAACAAGATGAGTAAAAATGCTTTAAGAAAAGTTCGAATACTATTTCTTCTCAATAGTGCAAGTATTGAGACACTAAGCGAAATGATATTAAAATTCCAAAAATAAAAAGTTTTCCAAATTTTGAAAAAATAAAAAAAAATCCATTTTTGTTCTGAATTTTTTTTCTCTTATTTCTTCATGATAAATATGAAATGAATTTGCAGATGTTTCCAGTGTCCATTAGGTTATGCACCTAATGACGATTTGGTTGCATGCAAACTAATACCACCAACAACATTGGAATATAATAGCCCATGGGTAGTGCTACCAGCCATATGTTCTACACTTGGCATAGTAGCAACACTTTTCGTTTTTGCAGTAATTTTTCCGCTTATTTTTTAAAAATTTAAATTCAAAACATAAAGCGCAAACAAAAGATAAAAAAAAATATGATTTTCTTTGATAGCTTAACTTCCACAATTAGTTATTTCTCTGTGATCAATAACTTTGGCTATTCTAACTAAATTAAATCCAATACAGATTAAATTTAACTGAACATAAGTAATAGTGATTCTGTTCAATAGGTATTTATTCGATATAGCAGTACACCTGTTATAATGGCATCTGGTCGTGAATTGTGCTACTTCATGTTAGCTGGAATTTTATTGTGCTACCTGGCAACTTTCATCCTTGTATCTAAGCCAAACATTGCAATATGTGCAGCATCACGAATTCTCATTGGCTTATCAATGTCTACCATTTATGCTGCAATTTTAACCAAAACAAATCTTTTAGCAAGAATATTTTTGATGCAAAGTGTAGGACGTCTTGATTGCATTGTACCCAGTGCGCAGGTTTCATCTTTTGAAATTTCGTTGTTTGATTTTACTTTTCCAAATTCATTGCAAAATTTTGATCTGAAAAGAACAAAAATAAAAAGTGAAAAAAATATGAAAATGTATTTAGGAAGTCTACTGTGTGTATCAGAATCATAAATATCAAAATAAGTTTACTTATTTCAGATAGCAATATGTTGCGGTATTGTATCGATACAACTGATCGGTTCTTTAGTATGGTTGATTATTGATCCACCAGGTACCGCTATATTATTTCCGTCACGGAAAGAAACAGTTTTAACCTGTAAAGCTAGAGCTTCTCATTTGCTGATTTCATTACTGTACAATATGCTTCTGATCATCGCTTGTACATTGTATGCCTTTAAAACACGAAAAATTCCTGAAAATTTCAATGAAACACGATTAATTGGCTTCACAATGTACAGTACGAGTATCTTATGGCTTTCCTTTGGTTAGTTCTTGTATTTTTCGTCGCATTCCTCACATCTTTATGTGAACACGAAAGTTGACATTCATGTATCTTTTACGTGATTTTGAATACGTCATTTCAAGTATTAATGACTAAATTACGTAGTTTTTATAAATGTTAGTAACGCTTGAATTCTTTCTTTCCAGGACCAATTTACTTCGCAACACAAAATAATTTCAAGGTAACAGATTTAATTATTGGTTTTGAAAAAAACAGTGCTTAAATTTAACACTTTTTTTTTCTGCATGATTTTTAGATGGTATGTGTTTGATGTGTCACTCTGCATGCTTATATTTTTTTTGTCCTTGACATTAAATGGACATATTTCGTTTAGACGGAATAAGCACTCAATTTAAAAACATGATAATTTACATAATACTGGAGTGTTACATTAAACTTTAAGTTGAATATTTCGGATTTTTATCACTTGTTTTTTAAATTTTGCTAGTGTGAGGTGGTTCTTGTACCCGAAACAATGTTTCATTCCGCAAGCTCAAGTATCTGTAAAAATCCACCGGGTCGTAAGGTGAAATTTTCCTGGAGAGGAGATTCGTCATGTCAGGCTGTCTTATGTGTCACACCATCTGACACTTTAGCGCTGGTTTTATCCCATGACGTAGTGGTCGAAATAACACTCAACAAACATATCCGTATTTGTCGCATTGGTGGTGTTGCGGCTACTATTTGCAGTGGTGGACGAGTGGCTGCTGTACATCATCCATCCGTTGAAATTGTCCAACAAGAAACACAGGTAAGCTAGTAGGATTTTGTAGGGATTAATTCGTGAAATACCGAAAAAAAAAAAAACATTTAAAAAAATGGTGAAAGAAGGAACTTCAGGTGTTGTTCGATATGGTACAGGGTCCACGGGTTCGGGCTAACAGTGATACTGTTCACGTGTTTGATGTGAAGGGAACAGATCCACCGACACGAGTGCATTCTATAACGAAACAGGAAGTGTTAATTCATGAAAATGTCACCGTAGCAAAGGACAAATTTTGTTTACGTCGCGATATCGACGCTACAGTTGCGCTATTTCTGGACGATGACGGTGGTAGTGACGTATTTGGGATCTATGAAGATAAGCATGAGCGATGCATGCTGGCAGCACGACAAGCAAATGTAGATCAGAAGGGTAATCAGCTGAACGCAATCGTTCAAGGGGTTAAAGTGAAGCATGATATGGACAATGGCGATACGAGGATTTACTGTGGACGCAATTTCATCTCACTATGTGTATCTACGCATGCTTTAACGTTGCATTCCCCGTGGATCGATATTAATGTTGACCGCTGGTCACGCACGCGTCTACGTCGAGGTGAACAAATTATTGAAACGAGTAAAAATCAATTAAGAATCAGTCAAAACACAACGCATGCAGATTTCACATTAAGTTCTTCTGAAACCGCTGATGAATCGTTGTCAAATGAAGCGAAAGATGGCAACCTTTAAGTTCATCCATCTCTCCTGAAGTTTTCTGATTTGTTTATGACTGCTGCAATTTAACAGTATCTATCATCTATAAAACGCCCATCACAGAGCTCATTTTTATTTTCCACCAACAAAGTGAGATTTGAAGTGGTTGCATGCTTGTGTGTAACATATAATTTATGCACTCATGTCTTTTTAAATTGCACAGTAAATATGCATGCTCTTAAGTTGTTTTACAAACAAAAAGGAAGAATTGAAAGTGATAAATAGGTTTAAGATTAATAGATTCTGCTCAACAGCTAAAATTTCAGCTAAAATGAAATTGGCTGACTAATGTTATTGCTTCTGCTTGAATTTTTGCTTCCAAATGTTAAACTTTTTGGTGATTGCACAGATTCTGGCTATTTATTCTCATAACTATCCCTAAAATTAATGGTATTCAAAGAATCTGTAAATAAGTGGAAACAACTGAAAACTGGAAATGAATTTTTGGACAATAAATAGATAAAGGCTGAAGAATTGAAATGAATTTTTTTTTTTTGATCATTAGTAAGATTTGTTACCCATCAAACTACTAAACAATATTATAATTTGATTAATCGTCATATTTGGTAGCACTTGTTTTGCTCTTTAAAGTTGCCAATTTACATAATTTTTACTCTTACAGATACAAATGACAAGTTTGTGTATGTGTATTTCTATGAGCGGTACTGTAGCACTATGTTGCTTTTTTGCGCCAAAAGTATATATTGCCGTATGTCAGCCATACAAAAATGTTCGCATGCGGCAAAGCGCTGTTGGTCATTTGGTTAATCAACAAATGAGGTTTATGAGGTATTTCAAATTCATTAATTTTTTTCTTTTTTTTTTTTGAGCAGTTGAACACGCTTATTATTTGAAAGATTGTTTTCTCTTAAATATCGTTTCAATTTTCAGTCAAATAGCCACCACGGAAGTACCAAATAGCATTCTTTCCACATCTGTGGTTGATTGCTCGTCCTACCCGCATTTTGTATCCTGTAGCATTGTTGAGGGTAAATTTCTCTTATTCATTTTTCCCTCTTATACTTTCCATTTTGTTTATTAGAATAAATTGGTTTAAGCAAAGAGAGATTTTAAAAATTCCATATGATCACTTTCTTTTTATTTGCCTCTCTCCTTCACATTCAGGGGGTTTGCTATAAATTTCCTTTATCCTTCTAAAACTAATCCATATATTTCCCATTAACATAAAATATTGATATCTTTCATTTATTGGATGTTCTGCTGGATTTATTGTAATTTATTGTGCATATAATGATTTGAATGCTCAAATTTTAAATTAAAAAAAAAAAAAAAAGAGTAAGATCTCAAAAGTTTAAAATGAAAGATTAACAGTTAGTACTCAGGACTTCAGCAGAAAAGAATTCTATAACTTCGAGTCAGATAAGCCAGCAATACGGTACCATAACTCCGGTAATACTGATGAAATCACCTCCCAAATGCAATGCAAACAGCGATGACAATGATATCATCCGTAGAAACAGTAACTCCAACGATCACCAAAATTCATCATTTATCAAAACAACAGCATTTCTGCATCACTCTTCCAACAATATGCTGCATTCCAATGATAAACTTCCCAAAGAAACTATTATGTACCAAAATGACACTGAATTATTTTTTGAGCAACTTTTTGTTAATTGTGATGTTACCTCTCTTTGATTTAGTTTTTTCTTTTTTTCCCCTGAATGAATTTTGTCAGCTTTTCATCGATTCAACCCCTCCTCCGCATATCTGGTTTAATTTTTCGCATAATTTTCAATTTGTCCTTATCATAATTCTTTTTTGATCTTATAATATTTCAACTAGGCTAATTATTATAGCAGTCATTTCAAACTCTTACAAGGTAGGTACATTATTCACAGAATCAGTTAGACCATAATTTCAAAAAATTTTACAGAAGTTCATATAGTATTATTGCATGAATCTGAACTAAAAGTAATGCTGGAGATATGGCACTACTTATTCACTTCATTTACACCTGAAAATTCGTTTTTTTTTTTTTACATTTCTTGCTAACTTTTTACGAATTTTTAGTGAGACAAAAAAATCGAAATAAATTAGAAAAGTTTAAATTCACGATCTCTTCATTGTAACATGTAAGACTGCAAATAAGTATTGATTAAATAAAATTCAATTATTTATTACTTATGCTCTCTATGTACCAACTTTTAGTCTCTTCTGATATAGTAATTGTTGAATATTTGCAACACTATTATCGAATTGAAATGAATGGAAAATTTTGTGCTCTGAACTTTAAAAAAATTCAGCAATATGTCAACAAATGAAATCTGAGATAATTTATCATTTTTATTCATTTATTTTTACAAATTTAAATGTCCTACAGCAAAACAAATTACAAAACTTTTATTATACTGTTTACGATGTGTCAAACTTATTGGTGACTTCTATTTTGATGCTGTTAGCAAAAAATTAAAAATTAAGAAAACTGCAATCAATAAAATTAAAAATGAGAGAAACGATAATATTTCGTAAAACACAAAACAAATATCGCTTGATGATTTCAATGACTGTTACTATCAAATTCTCGAAGTACAGTACTTTATTACAATTTCTATAGAGCTTTCAGATTATTCCACATAATTTCACTGATCTGTTGGGCTTTATAGCTTGCATTAGCTAAGCAAATTGTCTCCGTATTGAACTTGAATAAATTTTTCATTAGCACTTCATACCTAATACCTATCTTTACTGCATTGAAAACGAAATGAGACTAAGTTTAAACCAATGAGCTGTAACCTTGCATGGACCAAAATTTATTAACATCTATGGTACTATATTAATAAATGAAATGGACCCAATTCATTATTTATTAGTCATGTATATACATTAGAAATTATTGTACAATTGGAAGGAATTTGCATTACTTGCTTTTTTGATTTCAGAAATTTTGTGGAAGCATCTTGATTTTTTTCAAAACTTTCTTTGAAATTCTCTTTCATTATAGAGAGGATTTTTTTTTAATGTCACCAAAAATTATATTTTAAATAATAATTCAAAATTTTAATTCCTTCGTTTTTTTATGATGTGATGACAATTGACTAACCCGAACAATTTACATAATTCTATCAAGCAACAGCAAGTTCTGAGATAGCAACTTTTCTTGAATATATTTACAAATCAACATTTCAGGACAATTTTATAGCTGTGGAACGAAAAAGACATTAGTGGAGAATTACAAAAATATTACTTAAATTAATATTTTTCTAAAAATTTTATAACTGCAATCATCAAAGAATGTCGAGAAGAAGTGATAATTAAGTAGAGTTAATGAACAAATTCACAGCTTTGTTTATTTGATCTCCTTTTTACATTAAAAAGAAGAAAACAGCAACTACATCAGTAACAATAACGGAAATAATAATATCATTGATGGAGAAACACAAAAATGATAAGATATCAGTGACCTGCAAATAATTCAAACAATGATTGCATATTCCGTGGCACATTTAACAACAATAAAAATATTAAATGAAGGAAAATTTGGGTTGAGCGTTGTTTTCGAGCAGTTAACACTGCTTGTGGTGACAGGTGACAGTTCATCTGGCGTACGCAAACTTTGGTCAAATATGAATTTTGTTTACGAGTTACAAAAAATTATTACGATTCTAAATCGTTTAATTGGAAGCTAAAAGAATATGATGAACAATCAATCATTTCGTATACAGTTATTATTTTACTAATTTATTGGATGGATTTCAACTGAAGTAAAATTATTCAAATTTTATTTTCAAAAATTCTTATTAGTTTATTAAAAGTTATGAGGATAATAAATAATATATAAATTTGTCTTCTAATGACAACAAGCGGAACGAATATGATTCCTCGAGAGGTGATATTGAATTTATTACTCATTGCATTTTAACCATACAAAACAAAATGGAAATAATTACAAGAGTTTCTTTATTAAATTATAAGTTTTGAAATGTCAGTTAAAATTAAGAAAAAAAAAAGGAATTTGAATATTTGGGTACATTTTAATTGCGATAAAGAAAGAAAGATCAATTTAGATTAGTTGGATCTTAGTCTACCTGACCCGTGATACTTTTAGAAGGAAGCTTTTAACGGCAATAACTTGGCATTACTTTCAGTGGAAACTTGAGCAACCGTTGATACAGACCTGAGAATGTATGTTGTACTCGGTGTTGCATTTAGACATTTCTGAGACTGGAAAATTGGTTAAAATTTAAAAAAGAAAAAAGAAAGAATATTGAAACAGGAAAAGTTGTCAAAAATTTTTGTAACTATTGATTTTCACTGTTTTTTTTTTCCTTGTAGTTTTAATGATTTGAAATGTGTTTAATAATTTAAAAAAAAAAATGATTTTTTTTTTTTTTACTAGTTTTAATGATAATTTCAAATATTGGAGTACAAATTAAGAAAAAAAATACTGTAGGTATATCCATCTCTAAATTCATAATTTTGAATTTCCGAATAAACCATATCAACGGTACTGGTGCCATAGCAAATAAAACCATTGAACTGGCAATAATCAAGACCCACTCGGGATATGTTTGTGCATTTTGATGTGTCTAAAAATGGAAAATATTATTAACTGAAAATAAATTTACCTACTAATTTATAGTGGAAGTAATTTGAAGACTTTTAAAAGAATTAAAAAGTTAAAAAATCAATAAAACAAATGATAAACTTACTGTCACAGAATTGTAAACCGAATATCTCGGTAAATCAATGAAAGATTTGATAATGGAAGCAAAAAAGAGGATAAGCATCAGGACTGGTGATATGAAACGCCATGTTATAGTCCAATAACAAGAAATTGTTTCACCAGTCATATCCACTAAATCTCGAGCAAAACTGAAATGATATTATCAATAGACTTTAAATGAGAAGCTAATTTGTATCCATTTTGGATTTATTCTTTCCCATCTCAGTTAAATTAATATCATCGTATATAAAACTTTAAATTAGCTGGAGAGAAAAAGCTAACTTTTGCCATCCGTAAACGTATATCACAGCTAAAACTTCAAAAAAAGCTACAGCCATTAGAGAGTAAGTACCAGCGAAATGATCAAACAACATTACCCAGTACTGAAATAAGATGAGTGAAGAATCAGATATTCCAGAACGATTGAAAAATCAAATTCTAAATTATTATTTTTATTATTTATATTAATTATTTGACAAATCTGACTTCTATAGGAACACAAATAAACATAAACAAAGAAATGATTAAGTGAACTGGCATATCAAACAATTTGAAGAAATATCCAGAAAGTCATACCTGACCGGAATGTGTTGTGAAAACAAGACCAATACCACAAGCAATTGAACATAAAATGGCTGTGAGAACGGGTTTTTTCAAGCTGATTAATTTGCTGTCATTCAGTGATGTTATTACACCTTCCAAAGTACCAAACATTGAACCCATGCCAAGCATTAAGAGCATCAGGAAGAACATTACTGCCCAAAAAGGTGGAAATGGAAATTGATTTATTGCTTCTGTGAATACAACAAACGCTAAACCGGTCCCTTCGGCTGCCTGAAATTTTTGGATAATTGAATGCCCCGAGAAATTGATAAAAGCTTATGGAAGGAATATGCAAAGTAGTAAATGGAGGAAAATAGAAGAACAGTGATCACCTGTGAAATGATCTGTTTATAATTACAATGACCTGTCACATTGGCCAGAAGAGAATATTCGGTGTCATGGAAGTCGCGGTACATCCATATTGCATATTGCTCCACTGATATATTCTTTTGAATTTCATCAAAGTTGCGAAACTTATTTGGATATATGGCAAGAATATTAGCCATATCACTGAAATGCTTGTATCAAACAGTACACAGATTTTAGAAATACGCCTGAATTTTACTTGTAAATTATTTGAAAATAATTTGAATGTAAATTATTCTCAATGTTAAACTCCGAAACTTCAAACTTTTCATCAAATCTTTTTTAAAGAAACTGAAATGAGTTTGTAATTACCGTTTTATACAATTGTTATAGTTTTGTACACCCATATAGCCAAGAACACAAAAAATAACAATAGCCATGTAAAGTGAGGTGATTAGATTGCAAAGAGAAAGCCAAAGAACATCTTTTTTACAGTTGTTCTTTTCCGGATTGTAAGATCCAAATGCTATCAATCCTGAAATTCATTTGCAAATGTGATGAGTGCTTTCTTCATAAAAAAATTTCCATCTGATAAGTAATATTTTTGACTAAAATTTCAAGTCTTACAATATCTTAACAAAATATTCACTTTCTTAATGAATTTCATGAAACTCTGAGCTTCTTCGTTTTTTATTACAAATTATTTTTTTTTTTTTTGTATGGCAGAAAAATTTTTACCACCAAAACCTAATCCCATGCTATAAAATATTTGTGTTGCAGCTTCCATCCAAACATTTGGATCCCATAAACGCTTTAGCTGAAATAATCTCTAGAAAAATCATTCTTGAAATTACTTTTCTATGCTATTTGCTAATAAAATCATTAGTTCAATGCACTCAGAATATTAATATTAGCGCAAAAAGGAAAAAAAAAACACAAAAAGTTTTTGGGTAATTCAACTAGAAGATTAATTATCTGACTTGTTTACTTATAATGTTAATTTTACCTTTCATTTTGCAGTTTATTTGTTAATTAGTTGCTTTAGAAGAAAAAAATAGAACTTACATCAGGATTCATCATATACTTCAAACCTTCAGCTGCGCCATCAAGCATCAGTGATCTTATTAAGAATATGGTTGTAACAGCATATGGAAAAGTAGCCGTAAGATACATAACCTGTAAATATGGAAGCTTTTCAATGACCTTTATAACGACTTATTCTAAATTATAAATGTCTGGAACTTTGAAAATAAACTTGAAATAGTGAATGAAACTGGACATGCCTTTCCACTACTTTTGATGCCACGCATAACGCAGAGGTAGATTAGCACCCATGCAAGAATCAGTGAAACTGTCATATGAGGAACAAAACCACCGAAATCACCTATTGACCTAATATAAACCGAAATAAGTAATTGTATTTTAGAATGTCATTTCATGATCTTAAATTATTATAACAAATTATAGAATCTCATTTTTTTTATAATAAATAAATACTGTATAATTTTCATTCAAATTTAATAGCAATTAAAATTACAGGATTTTTGTAGAATTAGGTTAAAGCAGTCAAAATTTTAGGAGAAAATTCAGACTAAAGAGTTTTTCTGAAATAATAATGTTATAAGAAAGGCTTACTCGCTTGTGTTAATTGCTTCACGATTCCAGAAATAACTTGTTGTGGAACTAGATATCCGGCACTCCTCCACCACAGAACCATTTATTTCAGGACAACTCTGCAATCTCATTGGTTACTGATATCGTCATGTATCACTTTATTATCACTGCTATGGGAGGTGAAAATTTGAAAAACAGAAAAGGAAAACAGACGCTCCATGGCAAATTGATATCGAAGGATCTGTACAGGTAATATATGCACCAGGTGATGATTACATTATAATAAAGAGCGACAAGAAACGAAACAATGGCTGCAGACACTCCAACACCTTAAATGGATCAGTTTTTCATTAAAGAAAAGCTTATCAAGAAGTATCAAAATTTCATTTCCAAAATGCCTTCACATTTAAAATTTTTTTAAATTCCATGATAAAATTATCCTGCAATAGCATTTAATGCTACCAATCATGATAGATAGCACCACTTTCTGACCTCCAAAATAAGGATGAATTTCGTTCCAAACACCAACAGGTCCTAATCGTAATTTTTGTCCAATACCAAGTTCAACAAGAAACAATGGTGTACCTTCGACAAACATCATTATACAGTATGGTATCAAAAATGCACCTAAAATTTGAAAGTTTATGCTTTCATAGCTTTTGCTAAATTTATGTTTTATTTGCAAATTCTTTCTCACTTGTTTTCAATTACTACCAATTAAATCAGCGACTGTCTCTTTCCATCCAATGCTTTTTTGTATGTTTAACGATGATATCATATTTATCATGCTTATTTTACTGACCACCGCCATTTTTTTGACACAGATACGGAAATCGCCAAACATTTCCAAGGCCAACAGCATATGATATAACACCCATCAGAAATTGCATTTTGTTATCCCATCCTTCACGATCGTCAGCACCACTACTGCTACTGTTGTCGTTGATTACCACTTGATGATACTCTTTTTCCTCTGTTAGTCCATCTGTTTCATTCGATCTTAAATTTTTTGAACAAAAATTGAAATAAGTATGGCAAAATCTGTCAATATTTTATGCTACTAAAGCTTGCATCAATTACTACTCTAAATTCTGCGTCTGAATTCACTTCGAAATTCAAATTTTAAATCTGTCTAATCGATCTTATAAAAAAAAAATTATTCAAATCCAAGAAGGTTTTTTTTTTTTTAAAAAAAAAAGCATAGTTAACTAATATGTTCCATTAATAAATCTTTTTTTACCAGGTTTTCAGTTCTTTTAAATCAAATTTAATCATATAATTCGAACCATTCAAACTCTTAAATTTGTTAGTATTTTATAAATTATATTCTCAATTAAATTCATTGTGGGTTAGATTTATACAACACTTCGTTATAAACTTTATAGAATCTGTAACCAAAAACCAAATTATTTGAACTAATTGATTATGATAATTTTCGGTTGAAATTGTGGGTAATGTAAAAATTTTCATCTATTAAAAGATTCTAAATTTCGTTTATTTTATAAATCTTTACAGCTACTTGTGTTCAAATGCTACGGATCCAGCACTGAATGTAACTTTTGAACTGAATTTCGACTCGATGGAAGTGTTGGATATTATTCGGCTTTCCTCGATATTCGTCGGTATGCAAGATAAATCGTTTTCTCTGTGACTCATTGACAAATACCCAACAGAGCACTTTAAGTGTGATTGATTCACTCCTCAAATTATTCGTTGCTTACAAAATTTTAAAATCAACTTGTTTGTTAGCTATAATTTAAACAATTTTTTGCTATTTTATTTATTTTGTTTGTTGCGACATCACAGTGTGAGAAACGTCGAGCAATACTGATCATCGATGCAAATTAATTAATAAAAATGTTCGGATACTTTAGTCCTAGTTAGCTTGTATTAACATTGTATGAATTTTAAAATATGACATGTCTCATAAATTTTAACAGATTGAGAAATTAAACAAATAATATGAAATCAAAATAAGCTCTGTTAACAATGCATGTGTGAATGAGAGATTGATTCGAATTCAAGGAAATTTAGGCAGAAAAATGAAAGGATCTATTTTTTTTATGAATGGTACTAAACTCTGACCTTCTCCATAAAAGTTGTATAGCTGAAATGGAAAGTCTTGGATTTCGCTGGATTTCTTCTTTATTAATAGAAAACTTTAATACTTGTGCGACAAATAAGCATTGACTTCTCCCTTAATGAAAACTTCATTTATGAGCTCAAAGTAAAAGTACATTTTGATTTGAATGCATTGCTTATTTTTCATAATGTAAAATTTAGTTCAGAGATGACATATTGAAAGAAATTTAAGCAAAAAGCGAAAGGATCTATTTTTTTCTTTTCTTGAAAATTAAATGGAATTTCATTATCTTTCCTATGTGAGAGGGAATATATTTGTATCTATTTCAAAGAGATTTTTCTATTTTCAAAGGAAGCAAAGAAAAAAGGTAATTAGTATAATTTTCTTCGAAAAACAATTACGCAGTGCTTTGATAGTGGACACATTTATTATTCAGCAAAAGCTAAATGTTTTATGATTTAGCCAATATATTTCATTCATTCATTTCATTCATTCATTCATTTCATTTCATTCACTCATTCATTTCATTTCATTCATTCATTCCATTCATTCATTCCATTCATTCATTCATTCATTCATTCATTCATTCATTCATTCATTCATTCATTCATTCATTCCATTCTTCCATTCTTTCATTCTTTCATTCTTTCATTCTTCCATTCATTCATTCTTTCATTCATTCATTCATTCATTCATTCATTCATTCATTCATTCATTCATTCATTCATTCATTCATTCAGTCATTCATTTCATTCATTCATTCATTCATTCATTCATTCATTCATTCATTCATTCATTCATTCATTCATTCATTCATTCATTTCATTCATTCATTCATTCATTCATTTCATTCATTCATTCATTCATTCATTCATTCATTCATTCATTCATTCATTCATTCATTCATTCATTCATTTCATTCATTCATTCATTCATTCATTCATTCATTCATTCATTCATTCATTCATTCATTCATTCATTCATTCATTCATTCATTCATTCATTCATTCATTCATTCATTCATTCATTCATTCATTCATTCATTCATTCATTCATTCATTCATTCATTCATTCATTCATTCATTCATTCATTCATTCATTCATTCATTCATTCATTCATTCATTCATTCATTCATTTCATTCATTCATTCATTCATTCATTCATTCATTCATTCATTCATTTCATTCATTCATTCATTCATTCATTCATTCATTCATTCATTCATTCATTCATTCATTCATTTCATTCATTCATTCATTCATTCATTCATTCATTCATTCATTCATTCATTCATTCATTCATTCATTCATTCATTCATTCATTCATTCATTCATTCATTCATTCATTCATTCATTCATTCATTCATTCATTCATTCATTCATTCATTTCATTCATTCATTCATTCATTCATTCATTCATTCATTCATTCATTCATTCATTCATTCATTCATTCATTCATTCATTCATTCATTCATTCATTCATTCATTCATTCATTCATTCATTCATTCATTCATTCATTCATTCATTCATTCATTCATTCATTCATTCATTCATTCATTCATTCATTCATTCATTCATTCATTCATTCATTCATTCATTCATTCATTCATTCATTCATTCATTCATTTTCATTCATTCATTCATTCATTCATTCATTCATTCATTCATTCATTCATTCATTCATTCATTCATTCATTCATTCATTCATTCATTCATCCATTCATTCATTCATTCATTCATTTTTTCTATTCATTCATTCATTCATTCATTCATTCATTCATTCATTCATTCATTCATTCATTCATTCATTCATTCATTCATTCATTCATTCATTCATTCATTCATTCATTCATTCATTCATTCATTCATTCATTCATTCATTCATTCCATTCATTTCATTTCATTTCATTTCATTTCATTCATTCATTCATTCGTGTTTTTCTTACATAACTAAGGTTTCTTTGATGCTACTTACATTCTTTCCTTTTCCACAAATAATAAAAGCCAAACGTAAAAACAGGAATGCAAGCAAATAATAATTAATGGATAGCTACTATAAAGAAAGGTTTAGAAAAAAGAAAAAAGAAAAAAGCCTCGGTAAGAACTAAATGTAAATCCATTAAAACGATGCCATGGTAAATTTAAATTTCCTCTTACACCCCTCTCCCCACCCAAAAGAAAAAAAGAGACTTTCTACCTCCAATTCTTTTATTCTTCTTCCGAAATGCTTTAGGTAACTCTTATGATGATGCATTTTTGACGAAAATTTTTGCTTTTGAGAGTGGAACAAGAAAAGAAGAGATATTGAAATATTTATTGTATCTTTTAATATGTTAATTTGTATTTCTTCAACTATCATTTAGACAAGCTCAGTGCTAATTGCCAAATATTGTAATCTATATGTATTTTTGATTTTATAATCAATATGTTTAATTTCCTTAAAAAGTTAAAAAAATTTTCTTCGTTACTTTACACTTAAATTGTATTCGAAAGCTAAAATAGAACTTTAATTGACAAAAAGAGCATATAAAAATTATGCATGGTAAGCAATCTTATTAGTCTATTTTGTAAAAAATTAACTGAGCTAAACACAAAATTACTTAGACCAACAATTCTTAAAATTTGAAACAAAACTATTAGTTGTAACTTTATTTTTTTTTTTTGTCTCTTAAAGCGAATTTACTAAACCACAAGTAGTCAATTAAGATTTCAAAGGAACAAACTAATCAAGAAATGAAACAAATAAATTGTTGGTATAAAGTAAGCGTTGTTGTCAATTTCAAAAAAAATGCTTACGCAGAATTTTCTTTTAACAGAAACAGCTTTCTTCAGAAATGGAATTGGCTAGAAAAGTATACGATATAATAAAAAAAAAAAATTAACAGAATAAAAAATCATACGTGTTCACTGGATCTTACTACTATTCATATTTATAAAATTCTTCTATATGTTGATTTTTTGATTTAATAATTTCTGAAATTTTTTCTAATAAAAAAAAAATGTTGAACAAATACGTTTTAAAAACTTTAAACACAATATTTTTTTAAGATAAATAATTCACTTAAATACTTTCAATTTGATTTTTCAAACAAGTTGATTTCTTACGCAATCAATAGCCTATTTTCTAAGAAAACTTCAATTGCTTATATTTTGTGAAAGTTTATTGAAAAAAATTTGATCTCTCAAGCAACTTCAAATTAATATTTCATTGTATTCTGTTTTCGTTTTTCGAGAATAATAAAAATCAAGAGTGGAATTATTTAGCTTTATTTGTTAAAGTCTTGTGTTTAAATTATATAAGTCATACAGCTTAAGTGTTATACTAAAGTAAAATCTTTGGAACAATGAAGAGCCATATAAAAACAGAATAAAATTATAATCTGGGAAATTTCCATCTCATCTACTTTCATTACTGAGATAAGAAAAACGCGAAAGGTAAACGAACAGAAGAAGTAATAATAATTTTATTTCATTTCATTCAATTCGTTATATTTTCAAGAAAAACAAAACAAAAAACATGACAAATATATATAAAGAAGATGGATGTATTGAAAATGAAATAAGCACTTATTTGCATGACTGTAACTAATGTTTCCTTTTCCTTTTTTGGAGAAAGGAGGTTGAATAAATTGTTATTGTTGATAAATAATGTCTCCATTTTTAATCCCTTTTCTTCAATTAACATTTAAATCAATGTTTTCTTCAAAAATACCTAACATTATGACATCTCGAAGCTATACCATGATTAAACTTTCTTATTTTATTTTTTTTTATCCCTTAATTTCACACGATAAACTCTTATCCTTTCAATTAAACAATTCCTTTATAAATAATTCAATTCTCGTACCAATAATTCAGATAAAATATATTCTAAATTGATGCTATTTACACATCATAAAATTTTATTCAATGATTTCTGAAGATGAAAATTACTTACTACGTATGATTTATTTATTACCATTCTTCTGGCTCTAAATTTGTGAAAATCCACAATTCACTAATGCAGTCAAAAAACTTTTGTCACCTCATTTCGCATGTTGTTCCCAAATAGTCTAATAAAAACAATCCTTTAAATGACTAAAAAAAAAAGTTTGCGAAAAAAAGTTTTAAAAAGTAAAGTGGTTTTTGTTGCTTTTTAATGCATCTAAATTTTAGTTTTTCCTCCTTTTACTTATCAATTTTTCATTTCTTGACAATTTTTTTTTTTTTTTTTTTTTTGCATCTCAAAATAATTTTATTGGGATTTTGTGCGGCAAAGGCAAAAACGTCATACTCGATATGATGTGACACACCAAACATGAAACGGATCAGTAGCAGTCAGTGATGTGGACTTTAAGATAAGAACATAAATTATCACCGGAAAAGACTGATAATGACCAATTATACAGCACAGCATTCATCTACGAAACTTCTTCTGACCGAGCACTAAATAATTCCTTATTCATCAAACAGTATTTAACTAAAGATGAGTGATAAGCAATAGCTTGAAAAATGTTAACTGTGATCTTGGTGATAGTAAGATTTTCACTATTATGCTATTATTTAATTATAACTTTCTCATTGAGTAGTAG